ACAACGTGGCGTCTCTCTGCCGTCTGAACACTGTTTCAGGTACAGTCTTCAAAGCTAGCATGCATATTAATGAAGTTGCAGCGCAAACATAATAGAGCACGCTGATTGGTTTGAACCAAGCCATACTCATGAATCAATGCAGCACACTCAGAGACGTAATACGGTACTCCCAGGTACAGACGTCCAGTATACTCCCTGGAATACACGCTAAGATCTCATGGCCGTGACGCAGCTTCAAAAATTAATTTCAAACCGGAAGTACGAATTTTCTCGAAATAACGCAAAAACAACCAATTTTCACTTTTTAGTGTAATATATGTGTCCTATTAGTGTTTATAGCAGTGTGGGACACATATACGACTGTCAAGAGCTCAAAAAATGTGTTTTGGTGTTTCGTGGCCCTTTAATGCTTAAAGAATTAAATGTTGAAAACTTAGATTATGCTGCTTTAAAGGGCTCCAATTTTGCCCTTTTTACAAGATGTAAAATAAGTCTTTGGTGTCTCCGGAATGTGTCGGTGAAGTTTCGGCTTTAAATATCAGATCATGTATTATACCCTGTTGAAAATCTCTATTTTGGGGTTTTTGTGAAGGGAATCGTAGCTGATTTGGTGCCTGTGCCTTTAAATGCAAATGAGCTGATTCTTGAAGTAGTTTTGCCCCGCCCACTCTCAGGACATTTACTTCAAAGAAGAATGACCAGGGTTGAATTTCAGGATAAACACACCAAAATCACAACTCGGACACAATGAAGCCGAGACTCTCAGTCACAGTATGATGAATGAGCCACTTGCAAAGGCTGTTACAACATTCACACACACTGCGCATTTAACACGCCGTGTTGTTTTTTTATTGATCTACTCATTGCTCATGACAAGTGTGACAGAATGTCCTCCAAATGGATGAGTATGCTGCTGTATAGAGATCATTATAGCTAAGTTACTGTTTAGAATAGACCTGATTTAATGTCTCTAAAGCAGAACTCTTGTGTTGTGATTGAAGCGTCCTCGTTATAGTTATGTACACTATGCAGCTGTGCTGAATCCAGTAGTTAGGAATTGCGTAGCTCAAAGTGTAAACTTGTAAACACAAAGTGTTTTAACTTACTGCTTCTTGAGGTGAAGATGATCACAGAGAGTTGAACAGATCTTTTAATTCCAGTTTCTTTGCAAATCCTGTCTTGTGGACATGACTATATGCGTTACTATGGAGACTTGTTAATACAGGCCTGTTAATCAATATCAGGTGGGAAAGGCCACACTCCTTTGAGGTGCACCTTAAAATAGCTCTGATTTAGATCCTATTTTAAGATCAGGAAAATAAAGAGCCTTGTTTCGTTTCTATCACTCAAATTTGACAGTGGACAATACACCTACACACAGCTCTGTCCAAACAATAGATTTTCGCTTAATAGGTGCCCTTTTAAGAAGTGGACTTACTAAATGTGTGCTTTCTGTTTCACCCTGATCCTGCACCACAAATGGATTGCAAATGTGAAATTAGCATTGATCTTGCACTTTAGTTCAGAACTGGTTGATCTGTGTCTGAGAAGCTGAACCCTGAGGCTCTCATTACCAGCTTTATTAAAAGAGCAGAGCACAGCCAGGGATTTTTCAGTTTTGATATTTTTAGTGTTGCTGCTTTAATCAGCATTGCATGTGCTATATAGGTGCTAGACGGCCTGAAACAGTACATTTATACACACCTTAATGAATAATTCCAGTTTTAAACATTTCCTGTGTGTGTGTTGTTGCTCTTGCTGTTTTTAATGCAGAAACTAGGGCTGGGCAGTATGACCAACATTTTATTTCACGCTATGAAAGTCTATTTTATGGTAATATGATATTTTATGGGGATGGCATGGTGGCTCAGTGGTTAGCACTGTTTCCTCACAGCAAGAAGGTTGCTGGTTTAAGTCCTGGCTGGGTCAGTTGGCGTTTCTGTGTGGAGTTTGCATGTTCTCCCCATGTTGGGTTTCCTCCGGGTGCTCTGCTTTCCCCCACAGACCAAAGACATGCGCTATAGGTGAATGGGATTAACTAAATTGTTCAGTGACTAAGCCGAAGGAGAATGAATGAAAGATATTTTTCACAGTATCGTTTTTTCCAATCGACATTTTTCCAATCTTCTGTCGCCAATTTTGGTGAGCCTGTGTGAATTGTAGCTTCAGTTTCCTGTTCTTAGCTGACAGGAGTGGCACCCGGTGTGGTTTTCTGCTGCTGTAGCCCATTTGCCTCAAGGTTGGACGTGTTGTGTGTTCAGAGATGCTCTTCTGCAGACCTCTGTTGTACGAGTGGTTATTTGAGTTACTGTTGCCTTTCTATTAGCTAGACCAGTCTGGCCATTCTCCTCTGATATTGATCTTAAAATCAAGACCTTAAAAAATTAAAAACTGCTTTTATTTTAGACTAAACAAAACAAATAAGACTTTCTCCATAAGAAAGCAATATTATAGTAATACTGTGAAAAAATCTTTATAAATCATCGTCTGGGAAATATTTAAAAAAGAAGTATATAAATTCACTGGAGGGCTAATAACGCAACTCTGTATACAGCTGTAGCAGAAACATTTAAAAAGCTTACATTAAATATCCATGTCTAGTGAACATGAAATCAGTATTAAATACTGTGGGAAAGAAAGACTGGGATAAACTTGCCAATTATAAATAAAATCCGTCTTATTAGTGTTGTTCAGTCCAAAACATACTCCCTGTTTGCCAACTGCATACTTGTGTCATGATGTCATCTCCTGCTGTCATTTTCAATTTGTCTTTATTCCAAAGTTGAATTAAAAAACATCGAGGCACTAAAGTGAAAATGATTGGAGCATGTTTTAAAGGAAAATAGTGGTTCAGTCTTTCCCTGGGATTCAGATTGGCAGTGCACCAGCATCTGATTTACTAACACCCCATAAGAAATATTAATAAGAATATTACACATTTGACAGCATAGCGGTATCTTGGGTATGTGTATGGCTATTTTGTTTGAAAAAAGTAACTCTAATCATAATATGTAGCCTATCTACACTATATGTTTTCTGTAGTATAGGTTATGAAAAGTTGTAGATCAAAAATATTTAACCTAAACCAGGTTTAATATAATAAACTAAGATGTATACACTTGTTTTGTTTCAGCTAGTTGCCAAGATGCCATTTATTTTTTTCCATTGAACTAAAATGAAGTTTTTCTTAAATTATTTACATTAATTTACCATTAAACTAATGTTATTGTTAATTTATTGTTGTTTACATAGAAGTTTGATTTTGTATTTGTTCTCCATTTCAGTGAAAAATATTAAAATCAAAGGACAATCCTATAGATCCGAATTGATTCCCAGTAACAGAGCTCTATTTTAATTATCCAGGTGCAAAGTCTAAAGCTGATGGCACAAAAGCATTAAGGTTGTGCTCGAATCCACTTTTGCTATTTTAAGGACGAAAAAAAAAGGTTTGCGCCCTGGCGCATGGTCTAACAGGGTTGTGCTTATTCTCTTAAAGAGTTATGTGTGTGTTATGAGCATAACGTGCATTAAACCAATCAGAGTCTCATCTCCCATTCTTTAAGCGTCAGTTGTGTAGTGTCATGGCGCATTTGCTATTTAAATGGCGGACTTTTGTGGAAAACCTGTATGCTTCATTAGCGAGAAAACAGTTAAGCAGAGCATCTGCACTACAAGGATAAAAAACAAGCCTCCTCCATTCAGACTCTTTACTTTCTCTTTACTTTACTTTTACTTTACTCCTTTACTTTCATGGGTAAGGAAACAACTTTGTACTCACTCCACTGAAGACATCCATTACCCTACATATTAAGTTTAGTTTAAGCACAAAGATTTGTTTCAAAACTATTTCTAAATTCAGTTCTAATTTCCAGCAAACTAACAAATGAACAATAATAACCAAGTGTGGTCAAAAACCTGAGTTATACCCAAACACACGTCCGGTTCTCATGCCCCATATGGTGATGCAAATGCATTTGCTATTTAAACAATGTTGCACAAAATGTGGAAAATGGGGTTGTGTTGGTCTGAAAATAGCAACTTTCGCTCTCGTGGATAGAGAAAACTTTTACGCGCAGACGTCAATTAGCCTACAAATAATTAATTTAGTTTGTTAAGCGCAAAGATTTGTATCAAAACTATTTCTAAATTCAGTTCTAATTTCCAGCAAATGAACAAGTTACATTCAAACACATGTCCTGTTCTTATGCCCCATGTGGGGACGCAAATAATGGCGCAAATGGATTTGCTATTTAAACAATGTTACACAAAACATAAAAATTAGGGTTGTGTTGGTCTGAAAATAGCAACAAATTGCAAAAAAAACACATCTTGCACCTTATTGAGCCGGGTGTATGATAGGGCATTTAGTGTTACTTGTAAAAACATGGTAAATGTTAGTGATATGATGATGGAATCACCTTTCAGATTGATTTAGTTTTTTTTAAATTACAGCAATGTTTTATTTGATTTTCAACTAGTTTAAATCACACTTAAATTTAAAGAGTATTCCGCATAAATAAATAAATACATAAATCGATGAAAAAACATCAGTTTAAAGTGTTAGTTCAACCAAAAATTAAAATTGTTTTCATTTACTCACCCTGCTTTGTTAAACACAAAAGAAGATAGTTTGAACAATGCTGGAAACCTGAAGCCATTGATCTCCATGTTATGTGTTATTCCTACTATGGACGTCAGTGGTTAGGATATATTGCTGCTTTTTCATGGTGCTGTTTACTGTGATTTTTTTTTTCTTTTTTTTTCTTTTCTTTTTTTTCTCTTAAAATCCCAAATCCCACAAATTTAATGACTGCCGAAATGAAAAGCGTCAGACTGAAGGTCTTTGAGGGTTTTCAGGTGTCAGATTGGGCGAATTTGATTTGAATAATTATTGCAAGGTTAAAAGCTAAATATGTTCTTAGTCTGTGTGTGTGTGTGTGCGTTCGTGCGCGTGTGTAATTAGCTCAGCTGTAAGTCTCTGCTTTTTGTTTTCCCTGCAGTGTCTTCAAAGACGGGCGGTGTTCGCTTCGTCGAGGAACCTGCATCCGCCGCTCACTCGCATGTGCACTTTGACGAAAAGCTGCATGACTCCGTTGTCATGGTGATACCAGAGTCAAAAAGCAACTTCCTGGTTAAGGTAAGGGAATTAAAGCCACAGTTTTTTTTGTGCACGTGCAAATTATTCAAATAACTGCTCAGAGAATTAAGTGCTAGAGTAGGGATGGGGGAGTGTATTTTTTATTTTATTTATAGAGCAAAGAGTTTCTACAGGTGGTTTGTCAAGCCCACTCACCTGTGTGAAGCACACTTCATAAATGCATAATAGTTTTTGTTTGTTTAAGCGATCTGGAGTGGTTGTAAGAGTTTTAATTTAGATTTAATTTAATTAGTAAAGTTTTAATCAAGATTTAATGCTTCTGTTAAACCACATTTTGAAAGCAATGTGCAGTTTTCATTGTCACAAATTCACTAAAAACCCACTAGAGGGAACCATGTACATTTTTGACCGGGGATTCCCAAACTTTTTTATTCCGGGACCCACCTAGGCAAGTAATTTAATCTCAAGACTAGGGGTGTCAGGATTTCGATTTTTAATCGAAATCGATCGAAATTTATGCTCAATTTCGATTATCGAATCAAAAAATAGAATCGTCGATGCTGCCACGCCCCCATGTCACGTCAGCTTGGCTTGCCAAGCGGGAAAAAAACAGGCTTGTTGAAGTGCTTGTTAAACTGCAGACGCAGGAGACCCGTCGACAGAACTTAAACCCTCTCCTCTTTCAATGAAGTCGCCGGTGTGTAAGCATTTTGGATTTCCAGTGAGTTATGTTGACAATGTTCGTGTTGTCGACAAAAAACACAGTTTTGCAAGCTCTGCTATGTACGTATTACGTACGGTTCGTCCGATAGACAACACCGGCATCGCGATCCTCTGCCTGCCCCCGTTGCAAATCCGCTCGCGAAAAGTACACACTCAGGCCCTGTTTACACTGTCTTTGCTTTTAAATGGCATTTTAGAACGACAACGATTTGACATCCACAGTGGCGTGTAGCATTTCTGAGCAGCCCTCCTTCCTCTCCACCTCTGAAAATGCACATCACGTGACCACACAGACACACACACAGCCATGCGCTCGAGACAGCAGGTCCAGGCAATCTTTCACTCACTTGTACTTAGTCATTTTAGCGAACACCTCAGATACTGTTGGCTGGTTCCTGTTGGTTGTGCGTCTTTTTTACTGACGCCATTATAACGACACAGATCACTGCCTATTCACGAGTCCCGCAGAAAAAGTGATTGACAGGTGGTATTTATGTGTGTATCTTGCCTTGGTTCATTTACTGTATGATTTGTTTATGGGTAAAACAAAGACCATGCAGGTCAGGTAGTTTAAACGGTAGGCTACAAATAATTAATTGGTCATTAATTAATTATTCATAATCGAGAATCGAATCGAATCGTGCCTTTAGAATCGAAAATGTAATCGAATCGAGGATTTGGAGGATCGTGACACCCTTAATCAAGACCCACCATAATATTTTATTATGGAAAAAATGGGTAAAAAAATGTATCCATTCAAAGCAGTCAAAAATATATGGTGTATGGCTTTTTGGATTTTGTGATTTGATATGCACAAAATGAGGCTCGAAGTGCTTTTTGTGGGATGCTGGCTGTAACTGTGATCATTTTTTTTGTTGAAAAAGATCCTCTTCTTTTTTCAGAAGAGAATATGATCAACCTTTGATCAAGCCCCTGGATTATGATCAAGCCCCGTCACATCGCAGTAAATTCCACTGCTAGTGTAGTCATAAGAAACTAAATAGCTTTTTGATCAACTACTACAAGCTGGGAAAAGGTCAGATAAATATGCCAATGCAATTAACAGTACTGCTGAATAGATTTGATATTTACACATTTGCTTGAGGAAGGAATGATGGGGGTAGTTACATTACATTACTATTTTCCATAACATCTATGCCCTTCCATAATATTAGCTGACGTTAAAACTAACAGATAGCACTATAGCTATTTTTTGATTAGCAATCTGTCAAGGTTGGTACTGTATGTAAAAAATATGGGACAACACATAGCTTCAAATGATAGAATACATAGCAAACAATAGAAAATATTGACAAGAAAATAAAAGGTTTAGCCTATTAAAATCAATGGCCTATCCAGAAATTAAATAAAGCTATAAAATGTACTTCACTTTTGATTGTATTTGTATATTGATTACAGTTACTATAGTTATTTAGTGAAGAGCAGCAAATGAATCTCCCAGTGTTTTGTTTGATAACAGAGGTGTTACTGTAAGAATGCACAGATTTATAATGAAAGCATTCGACTACTTTGATAACTGTTTGTGCTCATTTAAGAGAAAATTAGTTGTGTTTAAAATGAAACACGCAGGACGAAGCAAAAAAAAAAAAAAAAAAACGCAAAAAAAAAAAAAAGAAGCACTTTTCTGACGGTCCCTTACTGAGAGCTCCGGTCTGCGCGAGCTCTACCAGCTAAACGCAGATTGCGAGAGCTCAAACGGAGCAGTGCTGTAATGTCGAGGAAAAAAAAAAAAAAGACAGCTGTGAAACAAAACCAGCTTTGTCTTTTTGTATGAAACGCACTTTAGATATTTTTAGTGTAAGAGGCTTTTAGGGTTTTACCGTCAATCGTACTGGTTTTGATTCACCGCTATGTAAATATAGCTGCAGCTATGTGACGTTCCGCGATCCACCTTTGTTCACTGTGCGAGCCACTAGTGGGTCGCCACCCACAGTTTGAAAACCCCTGTTTCTGACCATCTCAAATAAGTTACTGGGGCACATTTTTTCATAAATCCACCAGAGGGCGCTGTATACATTCCAATATAGACATTTGTTGTAAATCATTCTGAATGTGAAACTACACTGGAGTTCAGACCGCAGCTATAACAATAAAGATGTCAAGAAATTGTATAGTTGGGCTCACTTTCAGAATGTTTTTTTTTCAGCTTATAAACCATAAAACCAACCCACGCTCATTGACATTATGTGCCCAGGGATACGTTTTTAAGAATGAAGTAATATGTACCCTGGGCTACGTCTTGCAGTTTTTGTTTTCAAATATTAACTAGCTAGAGGGTGCGATGAACATTTTTGACCATCTCAAATACTTTATTGGGGCACGTTTTCTTATTGGTTTTGCCATTTCTCGTAAATCCACCAGAGGGCGCTGTATATATATTTCTGCATATTTTAACATCCTTATTGCGCGCTTCTACCATTCACAAAATATATTCTTTTGTTTTAAACAGAAAAAAGAAACTAAAAGTCATTTTGGCGACACGATGGTGAGGTAGGTAGTGCTTTTGCTTCACAGCAAGAAGGTCGCTGGTTTGAGCCTTGGCTGGGTTAGTTGGCAGCTTTATGTGGAGTTGGCATGTTCTTCCTGCGTTCGCTTGGGTTTCTTCTGGGTGCTCCGGTTTCCCCCACAGTACAAAGACATGTGGTACAGGTGAACTGGGTAGGCTAAATTGTCCAAAGTGTATGAGTGTGAAAAAGTGTGTATGGATGTTTCCCAGAGATGGGTTGCAGCTGGAAGGACATCTGCTCCATAAAACATGCTGGATAAGTTGGTGGTTCATTCTGCTGTGGCAACCCCGGATTAATAAAGGGACTAAGCCGACAAGAAAATGAATGAATGAATAATTGTAATTTTTGGTGAACTATCCCTTTAAATGATTCTTAACCATTTAGGCAGGGCAGGTTCATTTATATAGCACATTTCACATGCAGTGGTAATTCAAAGTGGTTTACGTAAACATGAATAAAAGAAACAAGTAAAAAAAATTAAAACAAGCAATCAAAATGATTCAAAATATATTAAAATTTGTTTAACAGAGTTTTAAATGAATGAAAAAAAAATTTCTCCTGTAATTCACCCAAAGCATCATGAGGTGTCGGGAAAAAATGAGGATAGCTTCATTAGCTTCATTTGATGGTCTCAAATATGAGTTCATACTACAGGAGGAACATTGAGTTCATTTCTCCGCTCGGCTTCTTTCCCTTCTGTCACGCTGCTCATTTTCACTCATTATTATGTGAAAAATCAGCGACAGAACTGGTGCCAGGAGCCTCTCCAGCTGTTTCTGGTGGCTTGAAGAGGGAAAACAGGATCAGGAAATGACAAGACAGATCTGAAGAACATGCGAGCAGCGCAGGTCAGCATGTCAGAGCATGTGTGCAAGGACACGGCTGCTTTTAAAATCATCATGAGTCTGAAGTTCAGTTAGACTTTTGTTCCTCTCTAGTTATGATGTCCATCTGATGCTTGAAAAATGTGAATAGATGTGGGGGGGGCTTGGTTTTATCAAGGACTTTAGAATACGTGAGACCTTTCACATGTATAGTTTTGAATGGGGAAAAGTGTAACTGTCAATTTGGTGAATGAACCTCGCCTACTAGTATAGGAGCCAATCATTGATCAATATAGACTGAGGATTCTCTAGGGGAGGGGCTCGGACCAGACGTGAGCTTCTGCAGATTTTGTGTGATTCGAATGTTTAGAAATGAACAGGAAACTACAGTTTCTTGAACATGATAATGAGTTCACTGTACTCAAATGGCCTCCACAGTCACCAGATCTCAATCTAATAGAGCACCTTTGGGATGTGGTGGAACGGGAGATTCACATCATGGATGGGTAGCCGACAAATCTGCTGCAACTGCGTGATGCTATCGTGTCAATATGGACCAAAATCTCTGAGGAATATTTCCAGTATCTTGTTGAATCTGTGCCACGAAGGATTAAGGCAGTTCTGAAGGCAAAAGGGGGTCCAATCTGGTACTAGTAAGGTGTACCTAATAAAGTGGCTGGCAAGTGTATATACATATTATATATTTTTTAATTGTTATAATAACATTGCTGTCGTGACTCAGTGCTTATTTTTTGTGTTATTGTTTCAAAAGGACATCATGTGTCAAATGGCCCAGGTGGAAAAGAGTCAAAAACTTTTATTTGCCCCCCCCCCCAAAAAAAAAAAAAAAAAAAAAATATATATATATAAATTCATTTAATAAAACATTAATACATTTATTTAAAAAATCTAATATTTTAGATTTTATTTCTTAGCAAAATATATTTATATTGTAATATTTAAT